CAGAAAAGGCCTATGTACCCAAGCTAGACCAGAATGCATCATGTTCGCTATCCCAGAAAAGGTCTATGTACTCAAGCTAGACCAGAATGCATCATGTTCGCTATCCCAGAAAAGGTCTATGTACCCAAGCAAGACCGGAATGCACCATGCTTACTATCCCAGAAAAGGSCTACAATGATTAATTTCAAATTTAATTTCGAATGATATATTTCCAGGTGACGTTGTCCCCCCTAACACATTCAACCCACGTAATCTATCAACCGACCAATGGGTGAAGGCAGCTTCTAGTTTTGGCGCCAAGTACATCGTGCTGACGTTGGATCACTTTAGTGGCTTCCTGCTTTGGTCGAGTGAAACCTACAACTATTCTGTCAAGAGCACAAAATGGCGGGAAGGTCGAGGAGACATCGCCAGCGATTTTATCAAATCCTGTCAAAAAATGAACGTCGAATATGGGTTTTTCTATAGTGTAAAAAAAAACTGGTTCATGAACGTAGAGGATTTTAAAACAAAATCTCCAAAGAAGCAAAAAACGTATAACAGGATTGTCCTTCAGCAGTTGAAAGAGTTATTTCAAAACAGCTCAAAGTATTCGGATCCGTTCTATATTTGGTTTGATGCCGGAACTGAACCTAAGGTGAATCCTTCTATTGGTCCACTGATTCGTTCCTTAGCTAAGGATTCTATATGCGATGAATGCAAGTCGTTTGCAGGAAATCAGGGTGTTCGTTGGGTGGGCAATGAAAACGCGCTGGCGCCTTTACCAAATTGGTACGCCGTACAGACTGGAAAATGTGAGTATTGTGTCTAAAGGATAAAGTAATTTATTTTATTTTATTTATTTATTTCATTTGTTCGATTCGGTTTTGATACGAGTGGGAAACGATACCGAATATCAAGTCGTAGCTTTACTATAGCCATTTTACCGTAGCCGTAACAACGCCATTTCAATACGGCATTTCGTACCGCGGGGTATTAGTACTGTAAGTCAAACAGTCGACCTACGGTGCAGGGTCCATGAAGGTTGCTGCATGTTAGATGAGTTGCTGCATGTTAGACGAGTTGCTGCATGTTAGATGAGTTGCTGCATATTAGACGAGTTGCTGCATGTTAGACGAGTTGCTGCATGTTAGCACGAGAAACATTTCGCGCGCAGTTCGCCGGTTGGAACTGATCATGAGAATGTAGTGGAGGATTTGGAACTGAGCTTAGTTTAATTTTCGATGATTTCTAAACTATAAAACGAACTCTCGTCAAATTATTCGAATTGCGAGAAAAAAATTTATGTCGAATTTTTAATACAAAAAAAAAAAACTTGCAAAGAAGTTAAGTAGGCATAAGTTTCAGGTCACCCATCCAGGTACTAACTTCCCTCAACCGGACTTGACTTTTTGTAATGATATAAAAGCCCAAGTAGTTTTTTCCACTGGACCACGGTCCCAGCCAAATCAGCATAACAATAGCAGTGCAAACAATGCACCGAATACACTAGACTTTTTAACGTCAAGTTTTCAACCGATTCCGTGCGTGGCAGAGATGCAAGGGATTAGCCGATATGGTCTGGGGGCCGGCTGGTCTCTCCCCTGATGCTTCGGCTAGAACATTTTCTTGCGTAATTCGTACACCCAAGGGCAGAAGGATTTAATCGCCGTCAGGTCCGAAGTCCATACGACGTCTCAGCTCTGCGGATGTCTCGGGGGTATGGCAAAGTTGAATCGATTAATTTTTTTTTTCTTAAGATTTCCTAACTTTTTTAAAAGCATATTATCATCAATTTGACTATCTAATTTCTTTTTGCTTATATTCAAAAAGTAAGTATTATCGATTGGAAAAATCGAGTGTATTTTCCATGAAATGCTGCCTGGGAACAGTTTACTGTAAGTTAGTGCCGTTTTCCTCTCATACGATGACCATTCTCTTGTGAAGCCATTTCAACGTTAAGGCATGTCGAACCGTATACGTGCTGAGTACCGTATATTTCCCACTCATACGATGATCATTCTTTTGTGAAGCTATTTCAATGTTACAGCATTTCGTACAGTATACGTGCTGTAAGTCAGTACAGTTCATGTTTCACGCTCATAGGATAACCATTCTTATGGGAAGCCATTTCAATGTTACAGCATTTCGTACAGTATACGTGCTGTAAGTCAGTACAGTTTATGTTTCACGCTCATAGGATAACCATTCTTATGGGAAGCCATTTCAATGTTACAGCATTGTAACATTGAAATGGCTTCCCATTGTTGCGGTGGTACCGTATACGTCATTTTAAGTCAGTACTGTACGTTTCCTACTCACGTACGGGTAGCTGAATGTGCGTGTGGGGGAGGGGTGAGGGAATATTTTTGATAGCTATTTTTTCAACGAAAAACTTGCAGCATTGTGATTTCTGTTTTGATGTTGTTTCTTTACTACAGGTGACGTAACTCCAGGGGACCCCCTAGGGGAGGTATTTTGTCCTGCCAGTTGTGACACGGTAATTAGGGAGCATTACTGGTTCTGGCATAAAGACACGGAATACAAAGTGAAGACCCCGCAAAGGTAAAGTATTAAAGGAGATGCTTACGGCACAGCAACGGTCACGGTACGGAAGTGACATGCAATACCTTTTGAACCAATCGTAGGGCGCGATATTTAATGAACTCTTCATAAGAGAATGGTAATGACATTCATGGGATACATTTAGCTGATTGATAGCAAGCAATGGAATATTCTCTGGTTGATAGCACATGACGGGCAGTGCTTGCCTGTCATGGTAGGCTGATAATGAGATGCATTCAGCTGATTGATAGCAAGCAATGGAATATTCTCTGGTTGATAGCACATGACGGGCAGTGTTTGCCTGTCATTGTAGGCTGGAAATGAGATTCATTCACCTGATTGATACCAGTGTTATTTTTTTATCTCAACACCCAGATTAATACAAGAGTACCTCACCAGTGTCGGAAGAGGATGCAACTTAATACTCAACCTTAACCCCGATACCCGAGGTTTGGTACCCGATATTGACCTCAAGGTGTACCGGATATTTGGCCAAGGGATCCAGCTTCTGTACAAATCCCCGGTAGTCAAAATCACAGCCCCTCTATTGAAAATTGGAAACAATTACACGGTGAATTCAGACCCTCTCGAAGTTATAAATGGCTCTCTCGTGATGATGGAGAATGTCATAGATTATGGTCAGTTGGTAGAGGAATATCTCGTTTATTACTCCACGGTAGAAAACAAGACCGTTAAGGAGAAAGGTAGCTCTATTGGTCATAAAAGAATTCATCCATTTCCTAAAGAACTTTATGGACTGACTCTCAAGGAAGTCAAGATTAATATAAAGAAACTGGTCAGTGGAGGAGCGATGGTGGAGTTGAGAAGAATTAGGATTTATGATTGGAGTGAAGCTAAGAAAGAAGGATACTTAGATGACGAAAAAGAGTTTCTGACAAATTAGAAAACATTGAAAATGACACTTAAAAAGAAAGTAAGGTTTTGGAAAATGTATTGCTGCTTTATTCCGTCAGTTAATCTACTAGCTTCTTGTAGAACGAAGCTCGTGTTTGGATTAAGTGATAAGACTAGTGTTCTCGTTAAGGACCAGTCGTTATTTAAGTCGGAGAGGGGGGTGGAGGAGAAAATGTTTTTGATTCACAAAATTTTCCAGACCCCAACCTAATAGCACTCCACTCGTTTAAAGAATCCTCTCAATCCTCCTTCTGATCTTTCAAGGCCTCCATGTTCCACTAAAAAAAATTTGAGGGCCCACCATTTTCTCCTCCACCAAGAGGGAGCTTTGATTCGCCTTGTTGGGCTGAGAAAATGGGAATTTATGCACTGGGAATAAGTGTTAGCAAAACATAGGCTGGGACGATGGGATTTGGTCAAAATGAGGGGCTGGGAAATGGGATTAGATTCCCCCCTTATCAAGATTTCAAGGTTTTTTATATTTCTCAGATAGTATTTCATATATCATATTTACAGTTTTTATTTAGTCTATTGCTTACTATCAATCACGTGACTTTTTGGAGTTGACTGGGGGGCAAACAAGCGGTTGACTGCTGGGGGGCAACTAGCGGATGCTAAGTCAAAACATATCAAAATAAGTCCTCAAACTATTGCATTTGACTATTTTCGCGAAATCAAACCAGAAAACAAGAGATCAAAACAACCACCAGGATTCTACAAATCATCAAAAAAAGAGCTATTACCGGAAGTGACGTCTATTGATAGTAACCTATTGACTGGGAAGTGCAGGAAAAAAACAACCCATATCCCATGGTGCAGTTCGTCGTCACAGACACGGTACATCACGGCTCTGTGTGTTTATTTTGTTAGTCGTGTGTGCTGTTGTAATGCCTCTGATAAAGATGATGGAGCCTCGTTTATACCACTGCCGAATATGTCCCACGCCTCACGCATCTGTCTTGCGCTTCTTTCGTAAGGCATCTGACCGTTGAGAGTACAGAGGCCTGGGCACAAGACACTTCTTATCTTGTCTTCTTGGATGGAGTTATGGTCTTTTACTGAAGAGATAAATGAAAAATGGGATTAAAAGTTGAAAAAATGGGAAGGTTTACTTGTTGAGTCATCTTTTACTGTTACATGCGTTGACTACTTTGTATTTTTTTAATGTTGTTTGTTATTCATGACTTCATGAATTTCATCCATCCATCCCTCCCTCCCTCCCTCCCTCCCTCCCTCCATCCATCCATCCATCCACTAACTTACCAGCGCGGATGACAGCTCTAAAAGCTAAATAAGCATTAACAGTATTGGATACATCCATCGGAATCCTCATAGTCGGAGCACTAATCAAGTACTGTATCGGCTGGCCTTTATTGAAGTATGGATTACCATACCACCATAGACTTGATACATCCGTCACCCCAGGCTCGAACATTCGTACGATGATGGCCTGACCGACTGGAAGTTCACCCCCGTGCTTGTGTCTCATGAGGTGTCGTGGTCCCTCTTGAAGCTGCCAGCCAAAGTGACGTGAGTAAACCTTGAAAATGGATATGAGGAAAAAGGAAAATAAATGGATGGGAAATGAATAGAAAATGAAACCAACCCACCAACCCTGCACCAATCCACCAACTTACCCACTCACCAACCAACCAGCCCACCAACCCACCAAACAATCAAATGACCAAACGTGCAAACAAACGAACGAGCGAGGGAACAAACAAGCAAACACACACACACACACACACACACACACACAAGAAAAGTAAAGCAAAAACAGACGACAAGACAAAAACAACAACAACCACAAAAACAAGAAAACACTTACTCTATCGATCCCTTCCACCATAAAACCAAAGCTGTTAGCAGGAGAAACTATGGCATCTGCTGCTGGTGCATCCTTGAAGATGTCTCCCGCTGATATCTAAAGAAAAACTGCATGAATTACTGAACCACTCATTCAAAACTTTATCATAATAATTCAACATTAGAGCTAATATCATAATAATTGTAATAATTGGATTGACGGATCTGTGGCATTTACATGGTATCTGCCATGCACTCGAGTATTTTAATTAAATAAATTAAATATGCTTGACTTTTGACTGGTCAAACTGTATTAGTGGAAGCCATTTGAAAGTCGAGGTCTGTACCAAAGCAAAATTTCGATTCCTCCCAARAAATCGTAATTATTTGACATTCATGCAGATTTAAGCAAAGCAAATCCTGTCTTATACCTTAAAGACGTTTCCAACATATTTGAAAGCATCTTTCCAAGCCGTAATCATTCTCGGTTCATTATCTCGAAGATAGTAAATCACTTCAACTTCATCTTCAATCGATGCAGACGCAGCCATATTGAAAATCCTCCTTCCTCAGGCGAAAAATTCTGTAAAATGTTTTAAAAGCTTTAAAAATGTAGTCTTATATTTTTTTAAAGCTGAAATAACTTATAGTATAGCTTTTTCCGGGGGGTTTATCCGAAATATTTCCGTAAGGAAATGATATATTGTTGAATAAATAAGGTCTTTAAAAGTAAATTATTCGTTTTCAAAACATATCATGCGAATTCTGCATGTGAACCGTGAAAGTATTTATTCGTTATATTTCAACTTTTAGACATCATGTGGAGTCACGTTAACGTTAAAAAATAATGCTTTATATGAATGGGAAAAGAGCCAATGAGAATGCACGAAAATTCGTACGAACCAATCACATTGCTTGAATAGGGAAGCCATTTGAGTGTAAAAAAAGTTTTGACTCTTGACTTTTTAAAGTCAAAAAAATGAATTTTAGAATATTACAAAACTAAGTACATAATATTACTAATATCTTTTGAAAACAAACAACCACAATTTGACCTTTTAAAAATTCGCGTTTTAATTGCTTTATTAGTAGACTTTTTTGAGTATTATTTATTATGTGGAGAAATATTTGAATGCAGTATGTCATCCAGCTAATTCCTTTGAAAGAGGGTCCTGAAGGGGTGAGGTGACGGGCACTGAGATTCGTCTTTTTTTGGGCTGGGAAAATGGGATTTAATGCCTGGGAACGGGATTTACAAGCAAAACAAAAAACAAACAAAAATTGGGAATTGAATTAAGGTTTGAGCAAAATAAAGGCTGTGATTTGGTCAAAATGAGGGCTGGTAAATGAAGCGTGTGAAGGAGTGCGGAGTAGCGAGTTTTACAATGATATCAACACACTCAAAAGGACACCAAAGTAAATTTATTTTAGAAATTACATCGACAGAAGGCGTCTTCTGAAGCGTGTGAAGGAGTGCCGAGTAGCGAGGTTTGCGGAGGTCACAACACACAAAAGGACTCTTATGATTTTGGAAGGAAAATTTCAGTCGATTCCGTTAATTCCCCAAAGTGTCTATCAATAGGAAAATTGACGAGGAAACAAACATAAAAACACAAGAGTGTCGATCAGTATATCGTATATTGAACCCCGAAGTTGCGGGTTCCCTGGATGTATATCATCATATAGGACCGTGAGGGATTCGAATCAAAATATGCTAATCATTTGATCCATAGTTCCTTGGGATTCAAGATGGCGGCCACGATGATAAAAATGTCTAGAGTTCCTCGGAATTTTGTATCCTTTTTTAAACAAAAAACACCTTTAAACCACAAATATGTCTTCATTCTAGCACCTACACATAATTTTTGTTTTTTCTTAACATAAATTATAGTTATTTACGCATTCTAGGAGATTTTCTAACAACTCTTCCCATCCTCATTTACACGTGAGTACGATCATAAATTTAAAATTTTTTTAAAATATGAAATAGTTTAAACTTTAAATAAGATCAGAATAAATGTTCATACTTGAAGGGAATGAATATTGTAGTACTCAAGCATAGGTTTTTATAGACGATATGGCTTCTTGAGAGTTCAAAATTTAAACAGAATTAAATATTTTTTAGCTTTCAAGTTTCTATTACTGTGGCTTACTGTACACGTCGGACGTGTGATTTTTGTCTTTTTCTTTTGTTCTAAAAACTTTTTTTGTGTGTTCATCAATATTTTGTTTTTAAATATTTTTTTTTTTTTGGTCTTGAAGTCTCATAATTAATTTGTTAGCTTACTTTATGATCTAGTTATTTTTATTAAATATTTATAATAACTCTTCGTAGCTGTGGAAAAACTTGGTACATGTAAATAGAGGTTAGAACGATAAATAGATATGTTAAGGTGTAAAAGAATCATGGCATGCAAACGAAGCACATATTATAGCCACACTTCATGTGACATACATGTAAGCCTTTGTTATTTATGTGTCGACCAGCAAGTGATTGACTGGTGACACAAAGCAACTTGTGGCAAGCTCTTGTAAAAATGATTGGCATATTACATTGGTTTTGTTAGTAAAGATGAAGTATCATCTAAATCATTAGTATGATAATACTAATAGGCCATTTCACGGATCCCATTACTCAACCTCAGCCTCGTCATCGTGTAATTATTCTTTACAATTTGACTACAGTCTGCAGTAATGAAAGGAATTTACACATCAGTGAACAATTGAAACACTTAAAAATTTCACAGGTTGTAGGCAATTTCTAAAGAATATATTACATGCTGACAAGGCTGAGGTTGAGTAACGGGATCTGTGAAATGGCCTTTTTAAAGATACATGAATAGTGTGCGCTGTTAAAGTGCCACTTTCTTTTCCGAAAAAAAAAAAATTAGAAAAATGATTTGTTTTAACCACTAACAATGTACATTAGCTTTAAATATTTTGAAACAAAAACTGAGATTTGGTTCCCTGTGGTGTAAATATATCATGCATTTCAAGTGTACGAGTGGCTGTCAATCATCTGTCACTTAGAAGGGTGAAATGCAACATTGATTGGAAAGTTCTTGTTGAAGGAGGAGTTTAATGATCTTTATAATCTTCTTTCAAAGAACATTCCAAATAACTCTCATACTTCTATCACAGAAAGGAATTGGAATTTCCAAGGTGAAGGGGGGGGGGTGGGGGGGGAGTCTGAGGAGGGTATATTATGTAGTTATGTAGTCTGTAAAATCTCCATACCTCCCCCACAGAAAGGGTTTGTTTTTCAAGGGGTGGGGAGGGACTTAGTACTTTATTTGTGAAGAAACCTTGGATTTAGGTTCAAGTTCAGACTTTAAATGCATTCTGATATTTTTTGTTAGAAGTAAGCAAAGGGATTTTGTTTTCACGTCATTGAACTGGAATTTTTTTTCTTTAGGAAGTTGTCATTGTAAGTGCGGCCAGGACTGCGGTTGGGTCTTTTAGAAGCAAACTAGCAAGTGTACCAGCTACTAAACTTGGTACTGTAGCCATCAAAGGTGCTATTGAGAGAGCAGGTAAATAGAAATATAAAGATTCTATACTTTGGTACCTTCAAACATCTTCAATTTATTGAGCCCCTCTGGGCTGATAAAAGGCAAGCCACACTATCTCACAGATTGAACCCTGAAACAACCTCTAGGCTTATCAATGAGGCATGGTTAACTCACGTATTGAACTCTGAAACAACCTCTGAGCTGATCGAAGTCAGGGCATGGCTAACTCATTGTCTGAACCCTGAAACAACCTCTGGGCTGATCTTAGTTAGGGCATAGCAAACTCACAGATAGAACCCTGAAACAACCTCTGGGCTGATCTAAGTCAGGACATGGCTAACTCATTGTCTGAACCCTGAAACAACCTCTGGGCTGATCTAAGTCAGGACATGGCTAACTCATTGTCTGAACCCTGAAACAACCTCTGGGCTGATCTAAGTCAGGGCATGGCTAACTCACAGATAGAACCCTGAAACAACCTCTGGGCTGATCTAAGTCAGGGCACAGCTAACTCACAGATAGAACCCTGAAACAACCTCTGGGCTGATCTAAGTCAGGGCATGGCTAACTCATTGTCTGAACCCTGAAACAACCTCTGGGCTGATCTAAGTCAGGGCATGGCTAACTCATAGATAGAGCCCTGAAACAACCTCTGGRCTGATCTTAGTCAGGGCATGGCTAACTCATATATCAGATTGGAATTGGTTAGGTTTTGCATAGGGAGTAAAATGGTAGAATCTGGAGAAATACACTTCAATCATAAGGAAAGCCCTAACAAACTCTACTCACAACATGGAATTTAGTTTGTTACACTTTGCTGGGGAAAAGCTATCAAATCAAGGGAGAGACTCAACATACTCTACAGACTAGTAATGCTGAAAATATATTAACTCTAACTAAGAAGCTAATGAATGGTTGTGTTTTGTTTGCAACAGGGATTTCTCCAGAACAGGTACAAGAGGTGTATATGGGTAATGTATGTACTGCAGGTGAAGGGCAAGCTCCGACAAGACAAGCAGCACTTGGTGCAGGTAAGATAAACAGTTGAACAGCTCCAAGCATGCCATAATGGGTGTTCTTCTGATGCTTTCAGAATTTTAGATAAAGGTGGTTCTGAATTTACCTAAAAACTGAATGAAGATGCACCCACCAACCTAACAACAGTCTACCATCAAGCACCCACCAACCTAACAACAGTCTACCATCAAGCACCCACCAACCTA